TGTATAAAATGCTAATGTAAGCAGATAGGTTAGGGGGTCCCCCAGAGAAAGAGAACTAGGCATGGCTTTCTTGACGTAAGAGAAACCATGTTTGGCCTTGCCATTTTTATTTTTTTGGTGTTGCCTTTTATTTTTATTTTATTTTAGTTTAGTTTTTGGCCATGCCGTATGGTATGTGGGGTCTTAGTTCCCCAGGGATTGAACCCACGCCCCCTGCATTGGAAGCACAGAGTCTTAATCGCTGGACTGCCAGGGAAGTCCCATGGCCTAGCCATTTTGTGATCTAAGCCTGGCCATAATGAGTGCCCTTGAGCAGGTCTTAGTAATGTAGGAACAAAGGAAAAGCAGTCAAGAAAAAATAGTTCAGCAATAAAACAGAGTCCTACTTCTGTAAGCAGCTATTTTGCCCCTTTCCTGCTTGCCTATTTCTGTTCCCCTTAAACCCTAATTATGACAATGAGATCACTAGGTAACATTTAACCTAACTCCTGACTTATGCTCTACTAAATGTCCACAATGCCTTGCCTAACCTGTTGATTCTTTCCGTAGATTAAAAGAAGTAGGAATGAAGAATTAAGTAAAGAATGACTAGTTTTCTACCCCCAGCAACTCCTGAGCAAATTTACAGGCAGACCACACAGGCAAAATAGCATCCAAAGGAAGATCAGAAGTCAGCAGGTTTGCAAACAATGGAAAAATGATGAAGAATCTGACCTCCTACCTTAATAATTAACTGAGATTTTTTCCCCCCTTTTTCCCTTTAAGAACTTTCATGGCTGAGCATAATCATTGGAGTTGGTTTTGGGACATGAGTCCAACTTCTCCCCAGATTGCCAGCTTTTCTGATTAAAGCAACTTCCCTTTCTACCAACACTTGCCTCTTTAGTATTGGATTTTGAGCAGAAGCTGAACCTGAGTTTGGTAACAATTCCTCCTCAAGGAATATACAGAACAATCTGATAGTCTTAGTTCCACAGGAACTAAGGCCCCCACCCAGGTGGAGGATATGATGGTGTTGACCCTCCTGAGTTGAATCAACTAAAGCTTGGACTCTGCCCAATTCTATGCGGAATTCTCCTCTGCTCAAACCCCTTCATGAATATGCATATACCCTTAGCTTAAAACTTCACCAATTTTGCTATTCAGGGAGACACTGCTTTGGGAAAGATCCACAGTGCTGTCCTTACTTGCTGCAAGAAATAATAAATCTTTTCTTCTCCTGATCTTTGGCTTGGTTGTGTCTTTTGGCTGGACACCCACCAAGAGGCGAACCCAGATTTCAGGTAACACTAAGAGATCCCTTGGTTTGTATTTTAGACACTCTTTAGAATATCAAATCTGATCCAACCACCTCTAACAGATGGGGAATCTAAATGAACTCAGAGGGTATATGACTTTGATTCTATTACCAACAATCACTGGCTAGTTATCTGGGTTTCCAGTTTGGTGGTCTGTTATACTAACTAGCCTCTACTCCAGCATCCTTAGCACAGTTATATTTCTTTTGGGAAACAGACTGCAAATAACAGTTCATGTGTTGTCTGGATCTAGTATCTTTCTGGAACCTGAACCAAATGTAAAAAAAGTAGTGAGGCAGGATATTGACTCAATACTCTATGGCTTAATCCTTTGTGAAATGGGTTGGATGATAAATGAATATAGCTAATGTAAATAAATAGCCTCTGTTGGCCTCTAGGATCTAATACAGTGGCAGATAATTGATAAGCTTCTACTGAAATCACGAAAAAGAAAGTATCAAACAAGAGGTCATAGCAGAGCGTAAAGAAAAGCAAGACAGTATTGGGGACAGGTGAAGGATTCCATGAATACACATTTGAAAAACACTAATTACAACACTCAGAAGGCTCCTTTGAGATACGTGACAGGCTTAACAAAAGATGTCTTCGCACACTTGAAATGTTGACCCTGACTCCATTTCCTGTTTGCTTCTCTAAGAAATTTGCTCTAAAAGCCATGGAGGGCCTTCCCTGGTGGTCCAGTGGTAAAGAATCCACCTTCCAATGCTGGGGATGTGGGTCGATCCCTGGTCGGTGAACTAAGATCCCACATGCCTCAGGGCAACTAAGCCCACACGCCGCAACTACTGAGTTCACGCGCCTCAGCGAGAGAGCCCCCCCTGCTGCAAACTACAAAGCCCAGGCCCTCTGGAGCCTGTGCGCCACAACTAGAGAGAGAAAACCTGCATGCCACAACTAGAGAGAAGCCTGTGTGCTGCAACAAAGAGCCCGCACCACAACTAAAGATCCCTCATGCCGCAACTGACCCAACACAGCCAAATAAATAAATAAATAAATAAATAAATAAATGCCAGCCATGGAAATGGTTAAAGAGAAAGAGCATAGCAAGGCAAAATTCAAACCCATCCCCTGATCTTTAGCACGTTATTCTCCGTAAAAAAGCCAGATACTAGCCAGAGAAACCAGGGAAGAAAGCACTTATGGTCACATGTCGCCACTAATTTGGGGGTGAGGAGATAAGTACATTATCAGGATTTACTGCCTTTGGGAAAAGTCATCATTAATTCCTTCTTATGAATGGGAAAGAGAGGAAATGAGATTCAGGTGAAGGTAGAATATGCCACCCTCAAATGTGCCACTTTGTCATACTGACTATTTTGAAATGAAGATGATTGGGAAGCAGACAGAAGAAAAACTCTCTGCCCTTCCCCCAGAAGCAGGACATAATTGTGTAAATGTGTCCCCCCTCTCTCTGTATCAGGTCGGATAGAAGTTAGGGAGACAACACTAGATTCCTATCAGCCTAGAGATGGCATCAGAATTTACATAATAGACTTTACTAACTAGCTCTCATTTTCCATTAGTTCCTCCATGTATTTATCATCCCCAAATTTGCCACCCCTAGAAAGTCAAAGTCCTTTTCTTTGTCTTGTCACTTCTCTACAAAATTATCACTCTTTGCTAAGATGCCACATAACCAAGTTCTAACCACTCTGAGATGCTCATCACTGAATGTTCCTGTGTGTATTCACCATGCATCTGCTAACAAACTTCTCTTTGTTCCTGTCTTGTTACTCTTTTTAAAAATAATTAATTAATTAATTTTTGGCTGCATTGGGTCTTCGTTGCAGTGCTCGTGCTTCTCATTGCGGTGGCTTCTCTTGCTGCGGAGCACGGGGTCTAGGTGCGTGGGCTTCAGTAGTTGTGGCACGTGGGCTTCAGTAGTTGTGGCTCGCGGGCTCTAGAGCACAGGCTCAGTAGTTGTGGCGCACGGGCTTAGCTGCTCCGCGGCTTGTGGGATCTTCCTGGACTAGGGCTCGTACCCATCTCCCCTGCAATGGCAGGCGGATTCTTAACCACTGGGCCACCAGGGAAGTCCCTACTCTGTCTTTTTTAGTCTAATTAACAGGGCTCCAGCCAATGAACCTAAGATGGGTAGAGGAAAAATACTTTTTCCTTGCCTATGAGGTTTTGTGTCAGTATGAATCAGATTTAGCTTGAGAAGTTCCAGACTTCCCTACTTAGTGTGAGAAAGGGAGGGGAGAATCTTACCATAGGCTGGGAGATCTTAAAAACACACGGGAGCCTCAGAACCATACGTTTCAAAGTGGTTAAAATGGCCGATTTTATGTTATATTTATTTTAACACAAAAGAAAAAAGAAATAAAATGGACCCCACTGCTCTCAGTTTACAGATGGAGAAACTGAGGCCCAGGTCAGATAATGAGGAGGCAGAGCCAGAGCAGCCCCCAGGCTCCTAGACTCCCAGCAACTCTGGCCCAACTGTCAATAGCGCCACTGATGGGTGTCATTTAGGCAAAAGTGCTTGGCACAGAGTAGGTGCTCAGAACCATCAAGTCTGAAGAATTAAACTAAGGGCAGGACGAACTAAGAATCGGCACGGAAGGGAGGCGCTCTACAGTCCCGGCAGGAAATAAACTCGAGGCCCTCTGGGAAGCAGGGTCATTAGCCGGGGCCCCGCCGGCCCCCTACGCACCCTGGAGACCCCCGCGTTCCCTTCCCTGCGCGCCTAGAGCTCCGGAGCCCAAGCCGGGCAGCGGGCGGTGGAAGCGACCCCCCCAGGCGGCCACCCACAGCACTCCCTGCTGGAATTGGGCCCCGGGGTAGTGGGGGACGGGGTAGTAGCCTCTAAGGGGTCTGGGTTTCTTGACCCTCCTCAAGCCCTCGAGGGAAGGAGAAGCCAGAAAACTGAAGATTTCAAACGTAGCTCCCGAACTCCACTGGGCACCAGAGTCACCTGGGGGCGCGGGGGCGGCCGGAGACCGGCTGGGGAAGGTCCTCTGGGGCCCGGGAATCCGCGTCCCGGACCAGCTCCAGGTGATGCTGATGCGGCCGGCCGGGACCTCCCCGGGACGGCCACTGGGCTCGGGGAATCCCAGAGCCGCCGCCCGGAGCCTCGCGTTCAAGCGGCTGCGCAGCGAGGTTCTCCCGGGAGGGGCTTCGGGCCGGGGCGCCCCCTCACCCGGGTGCACCCCCATCGTGTCCCCGAGCCTCCCAGCGAGGTGGGCCCATGCCACCCGCGCCCCCTCCTGCTTGGAAGTCCGCGATAGGACAGGAGCCTCGGCCGCGGGGTAGAGACGCACGGGGCACCGGCGGACACACGGAAGGACAGGCAGAGAGACTCGCGGACGGGGGAGAAAGAAGGACGGGGAACGGGTGGGCGGACGGGAGGGACCGGGACATGGGCAGACGGGTGGGGGGGCAAGGCGATGGGGGAGACCGAAGGATGGGGGGACAGGCAGACCGACCGGAGGACTGGCAGACGGACGGGGGTGGGAGACCGACGGTCAGACGGACGGACAGCGAGACGGAGGATCGACGGGGGGGGGGAAGCGGGGGAACCGGCGGATCCTCAGGCAGACGGGGGGGACGGAAGGACGGACGGACGAGGGTGAGGGGAGACAGGGAGACTGACCCACAGGACAGCCCGGCCTCCTCCGCCCTGACCCGGACGCGCGGCCGGAGCCCGAGGCCCCCGCACGGCGCCCCCCCCGGCCCTACCTAGGGCCAGCATGTAGCCCTCCAAGTTGTCGCTGCTGAGCAGGTTCCAGGTGCCGCTGAGGTCGGCGGGCATGGCGGGGCTGGGGGCGGCACTGGAGGTGGGCGGGGAGGACTCGGGAGGTAAATGTGTGGCCGGGGAGGTGGGACCGGGGCGGGACCTCGCCGGGAGGAGCTGTGCGGGGAGCACTTCGCACAGGCCTCCGGGAAGCCCTCCCCACTCGAACCCTCCTTCGCCACGCGCTCCTGGATTTCTGCTACCTCCCTTTTGGAGATAGCTCAGTTTTCCTTCGGGCTTCCTCCTCTCTGCTTTAACTTCAAACCGTGATCACAGCCACACTGTTTTCTCTGCCTACACGTTACTAACCAAGGGATCTCCTTCAAAGGCATGGCATTGATTACTGTGTCAGCTGCAAATAATATAGCAATAAATCCAACTCTAGTGGTCTCAATAAACAGGGGGTTATTTTCCTTACCTATCAAGCAGCCCTGGAATAAGCAGTTGCGGGTGATGATACGGCAGCTCCATTGTCACGGAAGTGGCACCTCTGTGATTCTCCTGGCTTTGTGATTCCTGCCGGTTACCTCACTGTGATGAGTTGGCTGCTGGGTTTCCAGCCGGAACATCCACATTCAAGATGGGAAAGAAGGGGTAGAGCACCACCTGCCATTATCCCTTCATCAGACTTCTGTTTACCCTCATTGGCCCAAACTGTGTCTTATGCTAATTCTAACTGCAAGGGAGCCTGGGGAATCTAGTATCTGGTCTTTAGCCTTGTCAGTACAGAAAGGCCAAAGAGTAAGGTGTTGGGAATGTGGGCTAACCTATAATAGCCACAAACACCCTCTCTATAGGCTGGCTCCAAGACTTATCTGTCCATTTCTTTTTTTTTTTCGGTACGCGGGCCTCTCACTGTTGTGGCCTCTCCCGTTGCGGAGCAACAGGCTCCGGACGCGCAGGCTCAGCGGCCGTTGCTCACGGGCCCAGCCGCTCCGCGGCATGTGGGATCCTCCCGGACCGGGGCACGAACCCACGTACCCTGCATCGGCAGGCGGACTCTCAACCACTGCGCCACCAGGGAAGCCCCTTTTCTATTTTTAAAAAAATTTTATTGGAGTATAGTTGATTTACAATGTTGTGTTAGTTTCAGGTGTACAGCTTATCTGTCCATTTCTGATCTCTCCTGTGAGCTCCAGACTCAAGTATATTAATAGCCAACATTTACTGAGTGATTACTATGTGTATTATCATTTATCACAAAATCCTACCTCTCCAATAGTTACTTTAGTATCTCCATTTGACAGAGACAAAACCTGAGACACAGAGAGGTTAAGTAACTTGCCCAAGTTCATACAGTTGGTGGAAGAGTCTGGATTCAATCTCAGGCAGCCTGACCTCAGAGCTCATGTGTCACCTCTCACTGCTTAAGATGCCTCTCGGGACTTCCCTGGTGGTGCAGCGGTTAAGAATCCGCCTGCCAGTGCAGGGGACACGGGTTCGATCCCTGGTCCGGGAAGATCCCACATGCTGCAGAGCAACTAAGCCCGTGCGCCACAACTACTGAGCCTGCGCTCTAGAGCCCGCGAGCCACAACTACTGAAGCCCACACACCTAGAGCCTGTGCTCCGCAATGAGAAGCCACCGCAATGAGAAGCCTGCATACCACAACGAAGAGTAGCCCCCGCTCTCTGCAACTAGAGAAAGCCCACACAGCAACGAAGACCCAATGCAGCCAAAAATAAATAAATAAAAAATAAATAAATTTATTAAAAAAAAAAGATGCCTCTCCATGTCTCCCCTTGGATGACTTAAAGGCATTTGAATGTAACATATACAAGGCAGAAAGCATAAAACAAAATTATTCCTTGGCTTTCCTCATCTCCATAAATTGTACCACTAGTCACCCGGTTGCTTAAGCCCAAAGCCCATTTAGACACTGGATTTCTCCCTTCTCTGCTCACCCATATCCAATCCATCAGCAAATCCTGTTGGTTCTTCCAACCTAACCCAAGCCACCAAACCATTCTCCATCCTGCAGTCAGGCAAGCTTTTGAGAAATGTAATTCAGATCCTATCACTCTCAAGCTTAAAATGTTCAGTGTTCAGTGTTGTGCCATTTTTCGTAAGAGGAAATTGCGCTCCCTCCCATGGTTCATAAACCATTTCTGATTTGGCTTCCGGATACTTCTCCAACATCATTACACTCTGTCTCCCTCGACTCAGCAACTCCAATCATACCAGTTTTGTTGTGGTGGTGATTCCGTGCAGAGGTCAAAACACTTTCTTTCTTCACAGTCTTTGTATATAGTGTTCCTTCTTCCTGGGAGGTTTTTCCTCCTGGTTTTTGCATGGTTAGCTCCTCTGGCTTCCAGTTCAAAAGTCACCATTAGGGAAATAGTCATTTTTAACCATGCTCTTCATGGAGAAGAATTTTCCCTAAACACCCTGTTGGGTTTTTTTTTCCAACCCTATTTCTTCCTCATGGAGGTGGAATGAGTTACCTGGTTGGGGGAAACTAGGGTGACCACACATTATGATTTCCCCAAGACTGAAGGAGTCCCAGGGTATGGAACTTTCATTACTAAAACTGGAAAAGTTCTAGGAAAACTGGAATGAGTTGCTTGCCCTACGGACAACAGCCACTGAAGAATTTTATCCACTAGGTAGAGTTAGCCTATCAAATATTGTAAACACAGGGTATCTCAGTATTTTCTTCTCCCTTTTGACATGGACTTGAGGGTGTGTCTATTTCACAGACCTGAACTTGCTCTCAGATAGACTGCCTAGACTGGGGGAGTTAGTATATAATTTATTCTTGCCTCTCCCAACTCAATGGCTTAAAATAATACAAATCATTAACTGGCTCACAAATCTGCAATCTGGGGAGGGCTCACAGGGCATGGCTCATCTCAGCTCCATGTGGCATTAGCTGGGGTAACTTGACTCCAGTTGGGAGGGTTAGAGAAGCCACTTCCCAAATGGATCCATCTCATGGCTATCTGTTGGCGGGGAGCCCAGCCAGGCCTGTGGGCTGGGGGCCAGGTTCCTTTCCATGTGGGCCTCTCCATGGGCTGCTTGGGCTCCCTCAAGCAGGGGTAGCTGGGCTCTAAGAGGGAGCATCCCAAGAGAAACAGGAAGATGCTGTACCATCTTGACCTAGTCTGAGAAGTCATATAACATCACTTCCACCAGAGTCCAAGGCCCACTCTGATTCAAAGGGAGGGAACATGGACCTCATCCCTCAATGTCACACTGTAAAAGGAGCACGTGAGATGGGAGATTCTCATAATAGCCATCTTGGAAAACACCATCTGTCACAGTTACCAATCCCTCTTTTGACCCTCACACTAAGCTACAACTTCTAACCTGGACTTTATCAGTCATGAGGGTGCTATTTTGGGAATTCCCCGGTGGTCCAGTGGTTAGGACTCGGCACTTTCACTGCTGGGGCCCTGGTTTGATCCCTGGTTGGGGAACTAAGATACTGCAAGCCTCGAGGTGTGGAAAAAAGGTGCTATTTTGGTTCTCCACTTACTGTTTCTTTTGTCTTATTTTTCCATTAGTTTAGAAGTTGAACAGAGAAATATTTGGATCTCTTCAAAAATCTGAGTCACCTTTTCAGAACAGCCTTCTGATATACATTTACTCTGTATCACATCTCTGCTTATATCCTTCATAATTATCATAATCCATAATTATCTTTTCTCGCTTTGTTTACTGACTACCTTTTTCATTAAGATGTCAAGGGCAGAGACCATGTTCATCTCATTCACCTCTATAGTATCCCCAGTGCCTAGTACAGTGCCTGGCAAGTGCTTAATAAATGTTTGTTGAATGAATGGCTATGACCTTTCCAAAGGAGAAATACCATTTTTATTGAGGAAACCATAGTGGCACTGCCCTGCTCAGATGAGGCTATTGATTCTCATAAGTATGAAACATTGATTCCTTTGGTGGAACATGACAGGATGATATCAAGTCCTGGGATTAGATATACTTTGCCACGTAAAGGGCACAGAACTAAGAACTCTGACCAGATTTCTGGAACATGAAACTTGTTTAAATTCCAGATGACTAAAGGAACAGGACATGGAGAAATCACATTTCCTTCCTATCCTTAAAATCTAATTGTTCTAAATGTTGGCCTGAAAATGAAAGTCACAGAAATAAACTAATAATAGTTCTAGCAATTGTGCTGGTTGGTATGGCTTTTGGCCAGCTTGAGCAAGGGGCATCTATTAGGGAGAAGGTTGAATTTTAGTTGAAGCGGACATAGCCTGGACTTGCCCATGGGAGGAGGAATCATTTTCTCCTTTGCAATTTCAAGATATTTCTTCTAGACTAAGACCAAAGTTATCTCTCGAAAGGAAAGAGAAAGTTATCTGGCCAAATTTGAGCCCTTTCTTTCCTTCTATTTGATACTGGCAAAGTAAACCATAAAGTTAGAGCCAAGATGAGGTCCTAATGTTGTGTACAATCACTGCTTCTCCTAGACAGTAATGGATGGGAACGATGAGGGACACTTGATGGAGTCTGATACTGGTCCAGCAAAGAATGGTGTGGACAGTAGTAAACTTCACCCCATCCATACCTCCCCTCCCTAACGCAAGGAGGCAACACCGTCAGGGAGCTCGGTGCCGTTCCAGGGATAAGACCTGGATACACAGGAGTTCGTTATACTTCTATCACTAAACCTATGTTTGAAAATTTCCCTAATGTTTTAAAATGTAATTGTTGTCATGATATACTCACGGGTTTGGAAAAACTTATCAGGCAGTTTAACTTGATTTGGGACACACTGTCTGCTGTATCATTCAGACTTGTAAGACGCTTGAGGCAGAAATGGATCAGAATCCCAGCACTGAAGTCCCCTCAGCAGGAGGAGGGCCATCATCCCTCAGGAGGAGCCACAACAGAGAATGGGAATCCCCACCACGCGCCGGCGCCACTGCAGCAGGCCCGAAACCCTACCTGGACGCTTCCAAGCTCCCCTCCTATGAGTCGCCACATCCCACCCCACACAGGCTGGCCTCCTTGCTAAAGCCCATGGTCACACGCCTGTTCTCCATACCTCCTCTTAGGTTGTTCCTCCTGCCTAAGGTTGCTGGAGTTG